AGTGGGGCCACACAGAGGGACGCCCGGGACGGCTGAACTTACTCACCTGAGAGGTACGATGGCCAGCCAGCCATGTAGCCGCCAACATAGCCAGGGCTCCTCGCTAGGGACACCGGGTGTCGGGTCCGAAAAGTGAGCCCCGAGTTCCGAGCTTTTACCTCGCTCCGGCCGGGAGCGGGTCACGCATGCGCACGCCCAGGAGCAGCTGCTCACCGGACCCCCAGCTTCCGGCTTAGCGGCCCGGGCGGGCGGGGCTGAGACTGCGGGCCCGGGGGTCGCCCTCTGAGAGCAGATACAGATGCTGAACGTGGACGCTCCGTGTAAACATGGAGAATAAATGAGTGAGAGGCTGGAGCAAGACACACAGGACCCAGCACTTCTCCTTCGAGTACTGAGAGAGGAGGCACCAGCACAGCTGGCTGCCAGTTCACCCCGAAACATACCTGCCCACACGGCCCTGGCTTCCCGTCCACCCGCCTGCACCTCCTACGGCCCAGGCCCAGGAGAGGAGCGGGGGGCGGGAGCCCCTCAGGCCTGAAGTCACCGCGTCCCTCGGGAGAAGAGAGGAGGCGCCGCTTACCTGAGACATGGCTCCTGCGGGCCGGGCGCCAGGAACCGGGTCCCGCCTCAGGGGGTTCCCGTCGCTCCACATCCACCCGCCTCGTCACACGGGGGCTCGGAACACAGCAGCCGGGGCGCCCGCCAGGGCTCCCCTCAGGACAGGAGTCCAGCCTGACCTGCAGCCCTACACCTGCTCCTTTGCCGGGGCCACAGGACTGCACTTCCACTGCGATTCCGGCAGCGTGGGCTCCGGGCTCCGGGCTCCGGACGGTTAGGGCCCAGGCAGCAGGCAGGGTGATCCCGGCGCAGGCGGGTTGGGCCCCTTCCCCTACCTCCGGCCCAAGAAGCCCAGACCCCACCGGGCGTCCTGGGGTCCAAACCGCGCCTTCCGAAACCCCGGGGACCAGGCCGCGGGCCCCGACAACTGCACTTCCCAGGATCCACCGCTGCCTCAGCGCGCGTGGGAGGAAGGCTCCCCGTCACACACTACAACTCCCACAACTGCCCAAGTGCGGAGAGAAACAACGGGCCTCAGACAACTACACTTCCCAAGACACACCGCGGTCTTAGCGACCTGTGGAAAGAAGGATCCCCGTTATACACTACAACTCCCAGAACGCCCCAAGTCCTCAGAGAACTACACTTCCCAGGACGCACCGCGGCCCCAACGCTCCGTTGAAGTCAGACATCCCATCACACACTACCACTCCCAGAATTCCCCACGCCAGCAGAGACAAAAACTGGGAACCTCAGACAATTGCACTTTACGACTCACTGCGCCTTGGTACGCTTCAAGAAACAAAGGCTCTCGGTCACACACAAAAAGACCCGGAACGAAGCAAAGTCTGAAACGTCAGTCTCCAGAGGACTACATTTCCCAGGATACACAGCGGCCTCAGCGCAGGGGAGTTATGGCACCTCCAGACAAAGGCCATTGTCCTCGGTCAACTACAACTCCCAGAACGCTGCGAGGCCCCAGCATCCTGAGAGGCAAAGCGCCACCTTCACATAACTACAATTCCCAGAACCCACTGCAGTCCCAGTGCTTCTGTGATTTCCAGCTTCATGCAACTATACTGTGGCCTGAACGCATGTCCTAACTACGAAAACAATCTGGAAGAAAACGACTTTATTGTGTTGCTTCACTCTATTTTCACCCCAAATGGAATGACTCCCAAAAGGGTGAATTTGCTTTACAAAAGAGTGAGCTTGCTTTGCAGAGGGGTTAATTTCAAGTGGAAAACCTGTAACTGGAATTCCTCCCCTCGGAGGACTGGTATTCCCAGAGACCCTCTTGGCCTAGCTACCAGGGGCTGGAAGCGACAG